CTTGATTCTCTCCGGAGATCATGCAGGAAATAGTAGTAGTAGTAGTAATGCCTACTATTGATATGTTACAATCCATCCGTTAGCTGGGATGTACTTGATTATATCCGTTATTTGGTAAGCCTGCTGCATTTACACGACTTTTCGCAACATAATACATAGCCTGGCACGCATAAACAAATAAAATTGTAAAGCTCCATATATATCCATGTCCCTATACGTCTTGCCTTGTCTATAAATAATGTTCGATTCGTTAAGTCGTGTCTTATTGATATAATTGTCTTACTAGCGTCTGGACTACCACCTACAGTTTTGCTTTACAGTATAACTGATCCGCAGCCCCTTCCGTATTAAGATCGAACAAAGTGGAAGGATAAAAAATATATATATATAGCGACCAAACTTTATCATAAGCAAATCTATTAATAAATAAAGTTAGTTTGAAATTATCAATCATTCGGACAAGGGGAAGAAAACGCTTAGTCAATGATCGTTTTGCTGGTCGTACGATTATGACATTTACAATGTGCCCCCTTGCCATTCGCTTATGGGAGTATTAATATTAGTATGACGACCACACAAATAATTTACAGAGCTTTTCGTCCGGCTATCAGTCGTCGTTTATACCGATATTCCGTACTTCGCAAAATGTCTGTGCAAATCAAACCACGTATTCTGCTCACAAAAACTCTCCCACTAGCTGCACAAAAGAGGATAGAAAGTTTCGACAAAATTGAGCTAATACATTGGAAAGATGGTGTCATTCCCCGTGGTGAGCTGTTGAATTTAGTGAAAGGTAAGCAATGACAGAAATCATAAAGAAAGGAACAAGGAAAAGAGCGGAACGTAGGTGAGAATTATGAATCAAAGTAATTATATTTGTTTCGGAAACGGTGAAATACAAATTAGTGGTCGTATCAATTAGAATTGTATGATGCATATCAAAGTGCTCTTGGATTATTTTTTTCAGGCGTCGACGGCTTGCTATGCATGATCACTGACGAGATCGATGAAGAAGTAATTGAGACGGCTGGAAATCAACTAAAAGTTGTGTCTACGATGTCAGGTAGTATTGATAGTGTCGTTAATACTACGTTCTTATCTTTTGTCTCATCTATCAATGCTTTCACCATCGCTACTTAAAACTTCTACTAAACAAAAGTTGGATATGATCACGTTTCTACGGCCGCTCTCAAATCTCGCTCTATTCCTCTTGGCTACACGCCTGGTGTCCTAACCGATGCAGTGGCGGACCTAGCTGTCCTCTTGGTCCTCGCAGCTGCCCGTCGTCTTCGTGAAGGTATCTCTGCTGTCCTCAACGGTGACTGGATCACGTGGTCTCCAACATGGCTTCTCGGGAGCCAATTAACCGATAAAACCATTGGAATAGTTGGTTTTGGAAGAATAGGGTTGGGTACAGCAAAGAGGTTGAAACCGTTTCTGGGTAGCAACGGAAAGATAGTATATGCGGGTCGGACCGTGAAGAAGGAAGCAGAAGAGGTTGATGCAAAAAAAGTAGAATTTGATGTTTTAATCAAGGAAGCAGATGTCGTGATTATTTCATGTTCACTGACTGAAGAGACGCGTGGGATGTTCAACTACGAAGTCTTCAAAAAGATGAAGAGGAGTGTAGTATGTTTAATTCGACAACTTATGTTATGGATCTCGCCTAGAAACTGTACTTTGTAATTGCTACTCACTTGTATATACTACCAATGCCTTTTTTGTATTCATACCTATAATGTAGATCTTAGTGAACATAGCCAGAGGGAGTATGATTAACCAGCCTGATCTGGTGCATGCACTGTCTGAGAACCGGCTGGGTGCTGTTGCATTGGATGTAACTACACCTGAACCACTTAGTCCCAATGACGAGTTGTTGAAGTTCAAGAACGTAACGGTAATACCTCATCTTGGTAGTGCGACATTAGAAACAAGAACAGCGATGGCGAATATTGCCATTGACAACCTATTAGCAGGAATCAAAGGGGAGAAGTTACCATATCAGGTGGAGTTTAATTAGCCTGGGCAGCAGTAATTTACTTGCACGTAGAGAGATATTGGTTTTTTAGTTGAGAATTTACGTTCTTCCTATGTTTATTTACGTATCATACAAGATAGTAATTCACAAATAAGATTTTGATCGTTTCTTAAGATATGTCGTCACCAAGTTATTCGTGTTCTTATGAGTAGCTGTACCTAGGCTGTCAATATTGATGCAGAAAAATTGACGTCTCAAGGCTCATATATCCAATGAATACAAATTATTGCTCAAAGACCTCCACTGTTGCTGACAAAATAATATAAATTTATTTATATAGTATGCAGAGTATCGAAATGATTGACATGATTACTTATGCCTATAGACATAAAGTGCTGTAGTTTACGTAACCAGTTCTTGACGTAAACCGTGATTTTAAAAACATAAGAGCCAATTTTTTCACCCTGCTCTTTCCTTAAAATGCATCTAATAGTACTGTAATTTTTTGGTTCCATGGTTGATTTGATATAAATTAGTTTCATATATATAATTTCAATTAAATAGTTTATCTTGACCAAGTTACATTAGAAACTAGTCTATGTCTCGAACGGCAAGTAATATTGTCCCGATTTATAGTGTGTGTTACATAAACGCTACTGGTTGTCAATATATTATCACGGTACCCCCTAGTAAAATACAGCTAGTAGAATACCCGGGGTACTTTAGTCAGTAATTACTATTATAGCCCATGCTGGGGCGAATTAATCGTTCTAACCAATTATTAATCGTGCAATTGTTCGCTGTAAACATATAAATACGAAATGTGTGAAAGATCAGCAATTTTAACTGGCGGGTGATGTAATAGAAAAGCCACGGGCTAATATCGCATGGGTACAATGTCAAAAAAACATGTCAACGATCAGGTGCCAACGATCATGTCAAAAAATTCCCACGCGGGGTTCAACTCACAAGGTTACTGCGAAACGGCACAGTAACGTGATTGTTCATACAACATCTTCAGCTTTTTTAATATTGTGTCGCATGCAGAATTTGGTGCAACACACAGAAAATCGTTCACTCGCGTAGCGTAACGCCAAAAATGGGCGAGCGAAAAACTTTTAAAAGGGCGGCATATCGACGTTGTGCCTCTTCATTGCTGAGCTCTTTCCATACGTTTTTAACATAATCTTTCGTGTCGATTCATTCGAAAAACTTTATAATTTTCTCCGTGATTCGCCTTTAGAATATACACAGTGGCTCTCGATAAGATGATGTCGTCAGGCCGGATCAAAAGGATCATATTATCGAGCGTTCATTATATCGAGCGTTCTCGTTATAACGAAAGCCATTGTTATAACTGATTTGGGCCCAGGAAAAAGCATCATATTAGCGAACATCATATTATCGAGGGATCATTATATCGAGAGCCACTGTGTATATCACTACATTTTCTATAGTCATCAAATAATAGAAGAAGAGTCGTGGTTCTCAAAGGAAGATTCGAGACAATTAGTTTATCATGCAATCGAGTCTGTAAAAAATCTGTGTAAAGAGAATTCGAGGAAGTATAAGAAACTCAACGAGATCCCCTAGAACTCTACTGTGATAAGGAGAAGGAAATGATTGGAGGAAGCTATGGATATACGTCATTAGAATATTTGATCACACACATCATCTCCCATCGAAAAGAAAACAAACGACAAATGGCAAGCATTGAAGAAGTTAGACAAGGATTGAAGGACGCGAGGGAGAGGCGAAAATATGTAGTTGATGCGTTGGAAACGTTCAGAAACGGACCTCGCGGAAAGCGACTGTATTTCTTATATCACAAGGAGTTGGAGGACAAAGGACTTAATGAAGCGGAGCAAAATGAGAAGAACATGTTGGCATATAGAGAGGACAGGCTGGAGGAGGCTGCAATGGAGGTGGAGGCATGGGGAGCGAAGCTTCGTGAGATGACAAGTGCAGCAACAGCTGTTCAAACAGGTAATAAGCACAAACAAGAGGCGTCGGAGGAAGAAACAGAACATAAACGCTATATGAAACGCTTAGCCAGACTTCCCTGCCCAAGCGATCTAGCAAGAACTTGGCAACAACCATCAAGCTGCGATCCAATGTTCCTGAATCATCGCCCATTATCTTCCAGTGGTATTCCAACAGAACTACTACACCCAATCTTTGATTTTCTCAAGATCGGACATATCAATTAGCATATTTTTTTAAAAATAATAAATGCCCTGGTTCTGACAATTAACTTCGTTTATTTGTTTTGTATTATGACGCGTACATCCAATTTGGTAATAAAAATATAAACAACGATCAATTTTGCGTAGTGACAATCTTTAACTTTTTCTTTACTGCGTCGT